TTAAAGGTGCCAGAGGCAAAGCACCTCATCGACATCGTTCTCGGAGAAAATCGTGATTAGCCAGGGCTCATTTGAGAAAGGGCTATAAATATTGTAATATTAATTTCATACTTTAAACCCACCTGCAAGGGTTGTGCTCTGTGGGAAATAATGATAAGAGCCCACAGGTTTTATTAAGCCTCTGACTCATGCAAAGGAAACAAAAAACAAATAAAACAACTAACACAATCCAGCCTGATTTGCTTAAACACTAGCGATGAATGCAGCACCGACACTTCCATCCCTGATGGCCTGCGTCCTGTCCAGTCTGTCACTTATGAAAGCGATCTCCTGGATTGATGGCCCAAATCTTGACGTGAAGAGTTCGAGATTCGCCTGATCTCCTGCGTGACACTGCGTGAGGCGAATGATAAGGAGAGTCAAGGTGTCATTTCGAACAGCTCTGAAACACCTGACAGTCAAAGACAGATGATCCTGCTGTGGTCATTGCTAAGCACAGCGCTGGATGCATTTTGCCGCAACAATAAATTCAACATATGCAAGGCTGTCAGAATGTTTTTTCTTTTCTTTTTCTTCTTCTTTTCTGTCACCGCAGTGATTTTTTTACATGCTGCGCCAAGCATAACAAGAAAAAACAAAGTGTCTAAATGTGGGGAGATTTGCATTTTTCACTCATGCTGCCACACAGTTGCTTGATAAAAGAAGATAGGAATCTCACTGTGGGAAATTGGAAGATTTATGTTACTCTCTGTGGAGGCAAATCTATCCGACATGACAGTTTAATCCTCTCAGAGTCTATCCGGCAAGATCAAGAGCAAGTGTTCAAAGTTTTCCTATGTTGTTGTATCAATGCTCTGTTGTAATAAAACAGAAACTTTGATTTTAAATTTCACCAATTTCTCTTTTTTGACTTACATATTGTTAGTTTGTTTTAATTTAGGATTATCTTCTAATTAAAACAACTACCCAGGTCATACTAGGGTTAAGAAAGGAAATTCTAGGATGGGTACTGAAGCGTAAATTTCAAATCTTGCGATGTGAGCTTGTTTTCTGACCCAATTTTCACTTTCAAAGAAAAAAAATTACACCATCTTAGCAGATGAAGGAAAACGGTGGCTTTCCGCTGCATCGTTTGGTAAATATAAACTCATGTAAAGAGATTTCAGAAAGGATTTTATTCCCAGCTCTCAGCATGAACTCGTGGCAAAGCCTTGTTGTTTTGGCCCATGAAACTGGCACTCGTTTGCATCCAAAAATATAGCTCCAGTGCCTCCTTTTGAAGAATTCCAGGAGATTTAACAATAGTGAAAAGCTTGGGAAAAAATTAAATACAATTTTGTTAATTAAAGTTTATAACAATGTTAGCAGTAAATTAAAGTGCARAGCAAAGCCTTCATTGTGAGTATTTTGAGTCATTCATCACTCTGATTGCATCAGTGTAAGTGGATACGAACAAGT